ACCTCAACCAACCCAACCTAGAAACTCCCTCTTAGGCATGACATCCAGAAGCTTGTATCCTAAGTGCTTTCTGGATCCCGCCGAGTCGGTGGCATTAGCCAGCACAGCGTCCAAGAACATTTAAGAAGTGCTGTGTCCCAGACAGGTAAAGGAAAATAAGAACGCTCTTAACTAGTGTCTCTAACCTACATTACACCCTAGGGAGGATGAGCCCTTGGGGTGCCTGCCAGAGAAGCTCTCTACCCCCTTCCCCGTTATCAGATACATCACGTGATGTAGCTTTAGGCACTCGAACTGTGCACCTGAGAAAGAACGCTTCTCTCCCCAGGCAGTGGGTTGTTTGTCTCAGCCTTTGCTGTTGGTTCTCGTGAGAGCCCCCAGGGAGCTCGGCCCTGAGTGCAGCAGTGTCTGAGTGGATGTGATGTGAGCCATTTCCCAGGGCAGCTCAGTCTGTCCTACCTGGGTACAGCTCTCGCTGTTTGTTATTGGATCAGCTTGCTTTCACTCTGGGCAAATCCCACAGTATCAGCAGTAGACTGAACACATGGACCGTTTGTCTATAAAGAGTTCTTTCTGATTGTGTGATGAAAGTGTTATGCAAAAGACACATACGTTCTGTGGTGGTCAGCAGGGGCCGTTTAGTCTGAAGCTCAGAACTAAACCATGCTCTAACAACTAAACATAGGAACTAAACAATATTTCTGTTTCACAAGATTTCAAACTGTGACCTGTTTTACCCTGTCCGTCTCAGCAGCTATAAACCCACACTGGAGTGTATGTATTTAAAGATATTACAACAGAATTATGTTCAGCTGGTCTTGGTCCCCTGACTCTAGGTGTTGTGTGCATTGCGGATCAGCACACGTCTGTATTGTGAAGAAGGGAGCAGAGAAAAGACCTGGAAATAGCCTACCTCGATGGATCAGCCACTCTTCCCGTGCAGAGCCTTATTAAGGTGTTTGCTTTCTTTTGTCAAAGAGATGGGCTATTTGCTCATGTTTTCTTATTTATTCCCGCGCTCCACAACAAGAGCTCAGACTCCTCGAGAGCCAGAGCTTTGGTTGCTGTGTACTTGCACACTGCTGAGGACCTTTAATTCCCAGGGACCCACACCCAGAAGCCATTATGCTGGGCCCGGCACTTCCGCTCCCTCTCCTGTGTGTTCTCATGACGCCCCCTCCCCGGCGATTTCCTAGCAGGCACTTAAGCATCAGCATCCTTTGCTGTTGTGGTCAGTGGTTCCTGACTCTGCATCTCTCTTCTTTCTCTAAATTATGATTCGAACAGCCCTTTATACACCTTGATCTCTTTATCCAATTCAGTTAGTTCATATCGTTTAACAAACCCTTGGATTCAATATTATTCATTAGTATATATATATATATGTATATATATATATATATATATATATATATATTATTTCCATTTCTTTGCATCGACTTGATGGTATGCTTTCAGAAGCCAAGCCTGCTTGTTTGTAGAATCCTGCCTGATTCCATGGCTCCCCGGGAATCCCTTGGGCGATGCCCGATGTGCAGGACGCCACGCTCACTCTGGAGCTGGTGTTCTGAGTGCTGTTCCTCCTCTCCTCCTTGTATCTTCTCTGGCTTTCTTCAGATCCCAGGCTGTGCCTGCCTCCTCCACAGAGGATGTAGCATTCTTGAGAGCAGCTTTCCAGGACTGGTAGGGCAGCTGCCTCCCCCTCCCCATAACTCTAAGATAAACCCTCCCGGGACTCTTGTCAATTGCTTGCTGCTCTTACTCGTTTTTCAGAGGTGTCCAAGGTGGGTCCCTGGGTCTTGCAGCTGTTAGGCAAGTTCTTACCACCGAACTGTTACCTTTTCCAGTCTACTCCTGAGAGTTGAAACTAGATGGCTGTTGGAAGCCAGCCCCTCACTCCAAGTCACCAGTGAGCCTCCGCCTCCACCTCTGAGGCTCCTCTGGACTCCGTTGACTGCTCACTGCCAATGCTCAGTTATAGAGTCGTTAGGATTCTCCAGTTTATGGTGTCTGTGTGACCAAAAAAAGTCCTTTATTTATAGCTTTGCTTACTTTAAAATGCCTCAACTGAGCCGAGACATACTCGTCTCGCGAAGTGCTTACTATGCAGGCTGAGGATGTGCGTTCAGTGTCCAGGATCCACACTAGAAAAGTGCCAGATGCCTCGAGACAACACAGTGAGTTCTTAGTGACAGTTGAGGACACAGTGAGATTTTGTAGGAGATACCATGACGTCAGTCAGACAGGACTTGGCACACTTTGGTTTTGTTGTTGTCCTTGTTGTGAAGTGCTGTGTTCAGTGGTTACACTGATAAAAAGAAGATCCACTTGAGATCAGTGTGGACAGAAACCGCAGGCGAGGGTGTCCACTCTCATCCCAAGGTGTGGGTAACTGTGCAGCACTGACTTCCTGTCTCTGGATCACAAGCTCTCTTAAAGGACAGCTGGCACTCGACACTCACTGTGAACTTTACACAGTGTTAAAAGTTTTTAAGATGGCTGTAGTACATCCCCCATCATGCAGACAAGAGACTGGGAGCCCAGAGATAACATTCCACGATAAATACTTCAACCCCATCCCAGTATTTTTTTTTTTGGTGTGTATGTATGTGTGTGTTTGCACGTGTATGTGTGAATGTGTATGCATGTAAGTGTGCATCTGCACTCTGTGTGTGTGTGTGTGTGGTTTGTGACAACTGACTCTTGTCCAGAGGTGCTGGGCAGCCTCTGGCTGGGCGCAACCCTCAGTGGATCAAAGACTGTTATCAAAGGGCGTGGCTGGGCCTTGAGGAAGGACTTGCTGGGAAGCCATTTGTACCAGGGCTCAGCTACTCATTTGTCCGTGTGCTGAATCTCCCCCTACCCTCAAGGAACATAGAGGTGTGTGTGTGTTCATGGAAGAGAAACATCCAAAGGCCAGGGATTTAGTTCAGGTTAGCTCTGGCAAACATGAGACTCAGAGCTCAGTTTCCAGAATTCATAAACATACGCACTAATAAAAACCCTACAAAATAAATAAACCCCAGATGTCTAGTGAGGCATTTGCGACAGTAGACTTTTCTGTGGGGTTCTTCAGAACAGTTCCCAGAGGCTCCCTCACAGGCTGAGACCTGCTGAGTGCTGTTCTGGAGTCTTCGGGATTTGAACTGCTTATGACGCCTGTGTGGGTTCTGTCATCACACTGTGCCTGTGGGAAGGGGGACCTGGAAGAGTCTCAAGCTAGAAGATAGCTGGGAAATAATAGCAATGTGGCCCTGAGACAGATCACCTCAGATCACCACAGATACGGGCTGGTGGCCAGTGGGCAGGGCAAAGGCGATGTCCAGTGGTCCTCCAGTTTGGGTAATGTTTTCATGCATGGATATCAAGGTAGGAAGCTGCAGGCTTGTGGGGAAGGCCTGCTTCATGTATTGATAGTTGTATATTAATGTTCTTTTTCCGCTGAGCCTGGCCTGCCATTCTTGACTTAGAAGGTTGAAGCCTGTGGACTGGCTTCCCCCGAGAATTCACTGACTAGTCTACTGTGGCGGTCAGGTCGTATTTCTGCTCACTCTCTCACTCAGAACTTTATGGTTAGACACGTGGGAGCATGGTAGAGGACTGCCCCGTTGATCGGCAGGGACACCCGCTCGTTGGCCAGGACTTCAGCTCTCTGCAAATGGGACCATTCCAGCTGCCGCTTTGATTTTGTCCACCAATACTACTCTCTTCATCTACGGACACTGAACGCAGCCATGTGGCCTCCTGCCACCTCGAGGACTAAGTTGTGTGTGACGTCAGGGGTATAGACAGATAAGAGCGGTCTTCATGCTTGTTCCCAGCTCTCTCCAAGCTTAGGCTCCTCACATAGCCATGTCCTTAGTGACAGCCATCAGCCGTGGCTTGGGTGGCAGCCAGGCCTCTGTAGTCACTCATTGTGGCTTACCCACCTTGCCATCTCTGAAGGTAATCAGGGGAGTGCTGGGGTTCACTAAGCACCCGTGGCCCAAGTGATTCAGATGGAGGCTCATTGGGTCCTCTTTGCTCTGCACTTGGAGAAAATGGGGCTGAACTCCATGCTGGCCCTCTTCCATTGGAGTGTGAACAGCAGAAGGTTCGTTCCATAGGCGTGTAAGGTGGTGTGGAAGGACCCATGGAAGGAGTCCCTGGCTCACTCCACAGACAGGTTTTACACATGACACGTGTGTCACAAGTAGCAGATCTTGGGAATGAAAGATGTCTGAGTGGCCCGAAAACAGAGAGGTGTCAAAGTTGAGACCTGAGAGCACAGGGCTGGGGACAAGAGAGAGAGCGCCCCTGGTGAACAGTAGCGGTGTTTGCTGGAGGTGCTGATCTATTTCACCAGTTCAGTGGGAAGCCTGGGAGGGTTTTCAGCTGAGGAGTAAACAGATTTTGTCTTATTTTTAGTTTGCAATGCTTGCTATTTGGAAAATAGGGTTCCTAAGGCAAGCATGGGGCAGGGAGAGCAGGGAGGGGCTTCTGCTTCTATTCCGTTGAGAGGGCCAGTGTGGCCTGTCTAGGGGCAGGATCAGATAAGCCCCTTATTCACCCTTCTTGTTGGTATGACAGCATGTCCTAGCAGTGTCTGCAGATTTGGGTCACACTCACCCCTGCTCTGCAGGGAGCCTGAGCTCATGGAGTCAGATTTCACCTAGCACCATCCCAAGGATTTCCCTAGCATGGTGTCACATTTCCCTCAGGCGACCTTTGAAATTTTGACCAGTGGAGCCGTCATTATGTATAGAAGGTGTAATGTATAACATTCGATGTTCTTTATATGAATAAGCGGGCACAGACACAGTTTAAAGATAAGTTTCGGCGAGCAGTCACGGCAGGTTTAGTTTGCAGTCTCCCTGTTTTACCGCTAGATCCTAACGTCCGGCCGCGCTCTGTAAGCGATCCATGGCCAGAGCCCAAAGCTGTTGAAGCAGCCCGTTCCCTACGCCAGGGGTTTCACTGCGCTTTAACCATGCCTCACTTATGTTATCTTTGTGTTCAAGTACCAGGACACGAACATGCAGGGAGTGGTGTACGAGCTGAACAGCTACATAGAGCAGCGCCTGGACACAGGCGGGGACAACCACCTGCTCCTCTACGAGCTGAGCAGCATCATCAGGATAGGTAAGACACACTGTGCTTGCTCTCAGGCTGGGTCACTTGGCAGAGAGCGACAAGAGGCCCCTGTCCCACTAGGGGGATGGGGCTCTTCACCGCTCTGTGGGCTGGGCTCAGTTCGTAGTGGAAGAATATGAATGTGAAGCTACCAGGATGAATGAACCCACAAATCCCTGAATTATCTGAGAGCAAATAAGTGCCTGCCTGCTGCAGGCGGTGGCTCCCACCTGGGGCCGGCACCTGCTTTCCTTTGTATCGGATTAAATTGCATCTTTAGAAAGGAAGATGCCAGGCTTTTAACATAATGTTTTAATTTATTCATTGATAATTTCATACAGTGTATTTTGAGCTTATTTATTCCCCTCTTTCAACTCTTCCCAGATCCTCCCCAACACTACCCACCCAGCTTAGTGTTCTGTCTCCTAAAACAAGCTGTTCATTTTGAAGGGAAGCAAACACGCATGGAACTCACTTGGATAACCAGAGATGGCTTGTCCAGTAGACAGGATGCTGCAGCCAGAGATGGCTTGTCCAGTAGACAGGATGCTGCAGCCAGAGATGGCTTGTCCAGTAGACAGGATGCTGAATCCTTCAGGACATGGTGTTTTCACTTGTCCACTATGACACGGAGCATTTCAAGTTTTTCATCTGAGAATAAAAATGCCCCAAACACGTGGACACCAGTATCTGTTATGACTTCACTTCATGCAAGCACTCTGTGGGCTCCCACACATGCTGTCTGGCTCACTGTCATCGTCACCTCACAAGTGAGCTTGTGACCCCACTGTTCTGTTGATCAAGAGGCTTCAGATGCACCAGGCTCGATACCCACCCAAACATGCACAGACCCAAGTGACTTATAGGGAGTTTAAATTTGGGTGATACCCCACCTGCCAGGACTTAGAGTGTTTGTTATGACAATGGCCTTTAGATAATAGAAACATGGAAGCTAAAATCTGCTCACTTCAGTGCTATGTGTATATTTGCCTAATGATTTTGGTGAGCACTTACTTAATTATTTGGTATTCTTGTAGGTGTTTTTAACCTAAAAATGAAACACAATGCCCATCTGTCTTTGTGAGGATTGAAGGCTCGACAGATGTTTTTACAGGGGTACAGCCATGGACCTATCTGCAGCCAGTGGATAAAACGGGGAACCTCTGATTATGCTGTGGGTCAAAGCCACACATTACACTGTTCTGTTTATGGGCATCGGTCGGTTGCTTTAACTAGTCCACACAAAGGCTGGTACACGAGTCTCACTGTAGAATCCGTGATGTCATATTCTTCCATTGAGACTGGTTTCTCCCTTCTTTTTATTGCTTTGGCAGCCACAAAAGCCGACGGATTTGCACTGTACTTCCTTGGAGAGTGCAATAATGTAAGTATCTATATTTAGATTTTGGTGCTCTAGATAAGAAATTCTCACAAGTGCTCTAAGAATCCACTGTCCTGCAAACAACAGGCATGTCGTCATGACTCCCTCCAGGCTTGTCTGTGCTTGGCTTGCATGTACAGCTACCACCTGTCCAGAACGGCCCAGCAGCAGACAGGTCTAACATGCAATTGATTTGTACATTCTTGCTTTGGTTTATAGTATTCTATACCATGTGTGATATTTCTAGAATGTGTGTTTCCTATAAAAGTTACTTCAGTCCTGTGGGCTGTAATGCCACAGAGGAGGGGCTGTGTCCCTTCTGCACTTCCTCTACCTCAGAGTAGTAAGAAAACACGGTTCACGTCGTGTGGGTTTCCTAAGGGTTTGAAAGGTGAGTCTGTTCAAAGCACTAGGGTGGGGCAGCTAAGCCTGGGTCTGAGTCTCTGCTTCTGTGGCTGTTCCTGGATTTCTGTTGGAGTACATGTGACAGCCCGTGGTCACGTGCAGCACACACACATGCAGTCGCATTTCGCCAACCTCAGTATTGGTGCCTCGTTTGTTAGTCATTGCAACAATCTTAATGCTTTCATTGTAACAGTTCATTCAGAAGCTCATGAGGTAAATGTCCGGCTTTTATGAGTTAGGCTGCACCATTGTGACTTACGGTGGGGGGTTGCAGTCTGATTTCCATTCTTGAGTAACTATGTAGCGTTGATGTTATAAGGCATGTTAGCAGGAAGGCGGAAGAAGGGATCTGTGATGTGTCAGGTGCCATTCCTGTCTAGTGTAGCAATGCAGTGAGAGCCGGTTGCATGCAGCCTTGGCTGGTTGGCTCCCCTCATAACCGGTCCTCTCTCTGTCCATAACCCTTGCTGGCCGTGTGATGTGACAGTTCACTAATATTTTACTAATGTCTCTCTCCCTGACTTCAAAGTTCCTGAGGGCTGAGGACCTTTGCGAGCCACAGCCCCTCCCTTGTATCTGTCAGAGGAACAATCAGACTAGAGTGTTCAGGAAAGTGCATCATGCAGACTTTAGTCAACTTTGAATGCTTGAAACTGTACGGCAGACCGTAGTGTTTACGATGGCTAAGTCATGAAAATAAATAGCTATGTTTTCCCTGCTCATTTAAAATTGTTCCTAAAAATTGTGGAGATGGTCTTTAATTTAAAAATTAAAATCTTATTTTAACTGACACATAAACATATAGAAGGATCATGTCAGCGAGGTGTGCCATGTGAACCCTGGCTGACTAGCTGTGTCCAGCCGTCAAAGCCACATGTAGAGCTAGCGAACTGTCTCCAGTCCCTTCGTGTGGCTTTTCCGGATGTGTCACACTGTGGACACAAGAACACTCTGGTTGTGTACTCTACCTCTGTGCCCACTGACCGGCCTCCACTTCACACCCACTCTCCCCATTTCTGATGATGACCGTTCTACAAAAATGTCTAGAAGATCCTCAGTTTCCAGACCACCCCCATGGAGTCAGTAGGCACTTGTCTTTCGATGCCTGCTCACGTAAGAATTCCTATTAGCAAACTTCTAGAGCAATGTCCATTGTTTCTGCAAATGGCTTCTGTGTGGGCACAGTGTACTCATGGGGCCCACATCTTATTGCTCCCCTGGGATGGCCTGCATTGCAAGGCTGCCTGTTGCAGGCATGTAGCATGTCTCTAGGATCACGTCTTTTGAGATCAGGTACACAAGGGACCCAAGTGGGTCTCAGTGGGTCTTCTCTGTGCTAGAACTTGGATCCTGTTCACCCAAATAAATGGGACAGGCATTGATCCGAGCTGCTGCTGATGCAGAGAGGACAGGGGAGCTACGTGTAAGTACTCCGAGGCTCCATGTGGCTGACGTGCAAGTCACAGGGGGTGCCGACGTAACTGGAGTTAGAGTCTCAAACTCCCCTGCTCAGTCACGTGGCTGTTGTTGACTTTTGTGACAGCGCTCTCAAAGATGATTTGGAGATGATGTCTAGAGTGTGCAGTCCTCTTCATGGTACTCAGCATGCCTTCACCTCAGTCTCTCACCTTGCTAAGTGCTGGTCTCAGACCCTCTCAGCCTCCAGTTGGATGGGCTCACACACGCGATCCCCTCAGGGGCAGACTTTTCACACTCCTCTCCTTCAACATCACAGCGACTTGCACTGGGAGGCTCTCGCATTTAGGCTTCAACTGGTACCCAAGAAAAAGGCAACTACGAGGTTTTATCACCTCCCAGAAAACAACTTTCTCAGTCCTCTATATGACTCTCTCCTTTTTTGCTTAACATCTCTTGGAGCATCAGGATGTGTGGCTAGAGCGCAGCCTCCTCTCCCGTGAAACTCAGATGTCACTGGGGCTTGCTTTAATTTTGAATCTTGTATTTTCTTTCCCCATCCTGTAGTCTATAATTTTTGTGATCATTTGTTTACCTGATGCTTTTGTAGAATAAATGTTTTATTTAGACAGAAACTTTATGGACCTGACAGAAAAATTCAGGGACCTTAAGGACTGTGATTACTCCATGCCTTCCAGGTAGGGATTGTCTCCTTCATCCGGGACTCCTGACATAGAAAACGGCCTTCTCAATCCTCCTTATGGTTTCTTCCTTTTTTGCCATCTTCCTTGATCTCTCCAGCACTGACATACTTGCTCACCTGTTTCATGTGCCCCTCCTTCCCTTCCTATCCAGAACAAGATACTTCTGTATCTATTCTTCTTTCAGCTGGTTTGGACCTGCTGTGAAAGCTACTTTCCTGTGCTCTCCACTGAGAGTTGGGCCCCTTCACTGTGCACTATTCATCACAGTGAGGTGGACAGAGTCTCACACATTCTGCTGCAGCACTGTAATCTCAGATGAGACCCCCTCCCCTTTCAGGACTAATTTCAAGGCCATTTTAACTTCTTGTTTTCCTGTCCTGTTGGCCTGTGTTGGCAGAGCTGTGGCCCACCCTTGCATGCTTGGCGGGAGTGCTGGTGGGCACCCCAGGAGAGCTGCTTTACTTACAGTTTTCTTGAGAGGCTCACACATTTAGGCTTTACTTGGTAACAAAAAAAAAAAAAGACAACAGTGGGTTTTATTACCTCCTAGCAGCCCGTATTCACTTCATGTTAGGTTTCTGGGGGACATTTTTCTTATTCTCAGCCCAGTGATGCATATATGTATGTGGGCTGGAGAGACGGCTTTCTGGCTAAAAACCATTCCTGTTCTAGAAAACCTGAGTTTCGTTCCCAGCGCCTACACTGTGTGGCTTCAACTACCTGTTATTCTAGCTGCAGGGGATTTGATGCCTTTTCTGGCCTCTGCAGGCATGCATGCACATACACAAACACTCATGTAGATAATATCCATGAGTGAAAAATCACTAAGAATACACTTTTTTCCAGCTTCTCTAAATGAATAAAACTTCTTTTCAAGAGTGTAACTGTTCTATCTGATCTCACTTAGAAGCTGCTTTCCATGGGGAAGTTCTGCGCAGCAGCGGTGGTGGCTGCTGCTGGTACTGCTGCTGGTGCTGCTGCTGGTGCTGCTGCTGCTGCTGCTGCTGCTGCTGCTGAGCTCATGCATTCTTTTTGTTCACGAGGTGTGGAGCATTGCACATGAGGATTTTTTTTTAATTTTAAAAATAAAGTTTATTTTCTATTTGAGCATTTCATACATACATATAATGCATTTGGATTGACTCCATCCCCTTTTCTCCCCCCCCCCATTTCTCCTCTGCCCTTCTCTACACCATTCCTTCCCACCTTGGTGGGCTCTTTTCTTAAACCTACTGGTCTGTAGGTTTGTACGTGTGCCAGTCAGCTGGAGCATGGGTGTAAACTTCCGCACTTTTCTGTGGACACCCGAACCTCGAAACAGGCGCGCGCTTTCCTGACTCGAACCCACGAGAACGGACGCATGTCCTAGGGGTTTGAACAGACGACACACACACAAAGAGACCGGCTCATCTGCCAAAGAGCAAGTGGCAAATGGCAGCTTTATTAAGCATAAGTCGGATATATATACGGTGGGGCAAAAAGACACCAGCCCCCCATCAGGAACAGGGAAAGAGAAAAGTCAGGGGGTCGCACCCAAGGTCGGACAGCAGCTGAACCGAGAAAAGAGGAAGCCAGGTGGGCGTGCTCAGGCTCAGAGAAAAGCTGACCCGGAGCGAGAACCTTGCTTGCAGGTGGAATTACCATGACAGTAGAGTTCTCTCTGAGCTACACCCTTGGGCCTTAGGCGAAATTAACATAACAGGAGAGGGCAGTTCTATGCTACACCCTCAAGCTGCTGCAGTGGAACCAGGAAGCAGAACAGCCCTGCATAGCACCTCGGGAAAAATGGGGAACCTGTGTACCTACACATGGGCAGACACTCCATCTGCCAATATCCTTCGGCTATCAGAGGATCCTCAGCTTGTGTGTGGGGCTTCAGGAGCCTCTCCCCAATGCATACTTTGATTTTTGTTGGCTTGATCTCATGCAGGTCTTATACACACAGTAATAGTTGTTGTGGGTTTGTGTGTACAAGATATACATCCAGAAAACACTGTTTTCCTGTAGATATCTGCTACCTCCAACTCTTTCTGCTCCCCCACCCCTGCTTCCACCATGATCCCTAAGTCTTAGGGTGGGGCTTAAGGGATATGATGCAGCTGTTTCATGCAGTGCTGAGAGTTCCCAGGCTCTTACTCTCAGCATACCAACAGATTGTAGACCTCTGTATTAATTGGTCTCTATTATAAAAAGAACTTTATTTGATGAGGGTTAATATATACACTAATATCGTGGTTCAAAGATAAGCACGGGGGGGGGGGGGGGGAGAGGGAGCGTATTGCATGTCCATTCAGCGGAATGATCCTATCAGGTTCCCCCCAGGGCCTGGCCAGTCTTCGTTTTTATTGCTAAGCAACAGTACCAGGCATGACTGTGGAATGTGTGTTAAATCCAATCAGAAAATGGTTGGGTACCCCCATTCATGCCACTATAGCACCAGTGAGCAGATATTGCCAGGGCTACTGTTAGTGTATTCCC